TTTAAAATCTCTGGTAGAAAGTCTCGCGCTCTGGAGATAATAATGTGCAGTCGCCACTGGTCAGTTTGAAATCTGAGTTTTTAATAAATAATTCGTTAAAGTTTTACAAAATATGAAATAGATAATAAAATAAATTCGAAATTCCCGTGCTCCAGTGGAGGACTACGTTATTAAAAATATTATGGCTGTAGATACTTTTTTTTAACACAATGCAAAAAACAATCATTCATGCAGTTTCTTCATTATTTCATTTCTTTAAATATAATGCAGGGCGATCATATTTGATGGTAACAATTTGAAAAGTGATTCAACACTTTTAGTGATTCGGAACAAAATGTCGTTCGAGACTAACAGCCCTTCTGGCTAAAAAAATTCCGATGAAAATCTAGTTAAAATTATAATTACAATGAAAAAATACTCAACATTTAAAGAATTTAAAAAAGAAATATTACGAATGTGCTTCTGCTGGCTTGTGTTATAACAAAGCTCGCCGTCAAATTCAGAATCAATCCCATAAGTTTATGTACCATGAATATGTACGTGTACGTTTATACTAAATATGTGTATATTAAAAAAATAAATAAATGAAATAAAAAAAGAGTAACTTTTTTACCGATCTCAACATGTTGCATCGTAAAGATACCAGATTAACACTTATCAGCTGTTAGAATCTAAAGAAACAAACTGCAACTTTTTTTTTTTTTTTTTTTTTTTTTTTTTTTTAAACCTGAACAATGCACTTCTATTCAGGAATCTGACAATGCCTCGAGCTTGAGTCTTAAAAAAGTGCAGAATGGCATTTCGGCATTATTATTTTCGCTAGCGTAAAAAGCTGTGAATCACTGCAGCGCATAGAAGAGATCATTGAGCAAACGGTTTTATAATTCCAAGGAATGTTGTCCTAGTGATTGTTAACGAGTATTTTAAAAGTATTTTTTCTTATATATCTATTGATTTTCGACTTTAAAAGTGTCTATTGTCTTCTCATTTTTTAACACAGCGTTTAGAATCTGTACAATTTCTTCAGTTGTCAATCCCTGTAACTATAAGATCGCTAATCTATCTTTGTTTAATAGTGAATGAACTCAGTGATTTAAAAATAACACTTATCTTCTACACTTTAAATTTTGATAATAAAGTAAAACCTTTCTAACGCAATCATGTGGCCTCCGACGCTTTTGATCTTTTGTGAAGGTAATCGATATAAAACGTGATGCAATTTTAGCCATATTTGTGTATGTTCTCACAAAGTTCATTTTTAGAGGTACTTCGTCTACGAAAGCGAGTCATTATGAGAGGCTTTACTGCACGTCTCTATTGTATAAGTTATATATCTTATCAATAAAGTTCGTAATATATCAAATAGGCTAGCAGGCTGTGGCCAGAGCAAAATTTATAATGAAATCAGTGCATTCTTTCCAAGCAACAACCAATTCGTAAATAATTCTTTTGCTGCCAAACCAAGAAACAAAAACTTTTGAAACTTCCGATTAATACACATACGTATGACGTCATGATTTAAATTTAACGTAACGTATTTCTTCTCAATATCAATAAAAGAATTAACTTAGCAATAACATATCGTGTCAACTATCCTAACCTGAAACAAAAAGTTGCCAACAGCCTCTATTTCTTTATAAGGCTGATATTAACGAAAAAGCTTCACCGTACAATGAATGGCGTGCTTTCTTCAACGTCAGAATATGACCTTATATATAATAATATGTTTAATGTTTGGCAGTGCTATTTTTATCTCATATTTTGTAAAACTTACAAATTTTTTATTAACAAATTCTACGATTTGGAAGCCAGCAATGACAACACATTTCGAAATAAAGCATTTTTATCTCCGGCACGCGAGACTGTTGCCACTCGGTAAAATGAGAGTGAAAATTAGCGTTTTAAGAGTGTATCTCAGCTCTACGAAGTCGTACGAAAGTAAGAATGGTCCAAAAATGGCTTCCCACGAATTCGTGGAATCTGGAGGTACCTGTCTCTAAACTCAACTGCCCGCCGTTCCGGATGAGATGATGTTACAAACAGACTGACAGACAGATGCGCACAGATTTCGTAGTATAGATTACCGTTAATATCTATACTATCAATTAATACCATAAATATCTATACTATTAATTTATTTACCATTATTAATTACTAAAAACAATGTCTAACGCAATACGCAGTGAAATCCATCATTGCTACCACCTTAAATATACCAGAAAATGATTAATATTTCTGAAATTTAACTAAATATATATATTGAATATGCCTTTCTAAAGTAACTACGCTCACAGAAGATCCAAGTCGTTGTGGATGATAGTCTTAAGAAGATTTCTCTGTAACGTTAATAACGAGAGACTAAGCCTTTAGTTTATGCAAAAGCCTAGATGCTTCATAATAGCTTAACGCGCAACTTTTAACTCCTCCCTTTGCGTGTTTATGGTCCTCTCCAAACAAATACAATTTTTCAACGAAGAATAGAACATATGGCATCAAAAACATCATTTGTGAATTACAATAATGCTGAAAATGCTCATAATCAGCTGGCGATAATAAAAAGTTAAATATATCTTACATTACATCAATTAGTTTTCTGAAAAATGAAATAAGGATTTATTTACTTTAAAAAGTACATTTATTGTTTTTATATATAAAATAAATATATAAGGCTCGATTAAGCAATTATAATTTCAAAGATAAATTAAATATCTTACATAAGGTAAAATGGCAGCTCCCTGAAAACTATCTATTCAGCTGAATCGCGTGAACAACACAAATATCGTCTGCAATACCAACGCCTGTAAGGTCCGGCAGAAGGCAAATCGTAACATAATGTACAGGCCCAAAACATTTAGGAAAAGACCGCTAAAAATATGTCTAACAAAGTATCATTCTAAAATGACTTAATTCTGAGACTCAAATTCACTTTCTACATAAATTCTTAAATTCATCATGGCCCACTATTCTAAAATTTATTGCCCGTTCATTTCATCATTAATTTTACTTTCCTATAATGTAATGTTGTTATCGATTTTTATCAGCAACAACATACCAATTCGCGGTAAATAAGATAATTAGCAACAACATAAATAAGTCAAAGAATTAATTCACAAGTTTTGTAAATTCTTTGTTTAAAAAACGAAATAACTGATAAAGCAAACTAGAATTAAGACACAATAACACGCCGAATAAATACTAATTCAGAAGTCAAACAACAAAAATCAGCGTTATATTTACAAAAGAACATAGTTCCAGGAAAAAAAAAATTACGAACTGTTACTGTTAATTACGAACTGTACTGTTAATTACGAACATAGCAGGAACTATGTTCTTTGATTTTATTATTTTGTAAATATAACGCTGATTTTTGTTGTTTGACTTCTGAAAGCAAACTATAACAATTATTTGAAAAGTATAATATTAATTCTTTATCAAAACAAGCATAAAATACAGAAAATAATATATTTAATTTCAAGTATTATCGTGAAATATTCTACAGAGAGAAAAGACATATCAATAAAATCACGCTATAGTTTCTTCTGTATTTTCCGCAGTGGGGTTCAGATCGATTAAAATGTAGTCGTTGTAGATGTAATGTCTTGTATTACGGTCTGGTCATACTTTATTTTGAAACTTTGATTGTCTTGCCTTATGAGTTGAAATTTGAAATATTTTGAAATGTCTTTAATGTTCTACATACAATTCTCTTTAAAATAAAAGCCTGACGGCTGATATAACAAAATTCGGTAGAAGTATAAGAATTGGTCAATAGAAAGCACGAGGAACTATATTATAAATCAATAGCAGGAACTATGTTCTTTTGAGGGTTTTTAATTCAAATTCAGATTTTTTTTTGGTCTAATAATTTTTTTTATGTTTTTGTTTTAAATTTTATGAAACAGAAATAAATATTCGTCAAAATTATTGAATGTATTCAAATCTAGACCTCCCCCCCAAAAAAAATAGAGGAAAGCTTTTACTTTAATAAAATAAAATTTAAAATTGTTATTAAAAATTATTATATTTAATTTACCTTTAAGAATTAAGCATTTTCCCTAAAGCCGAGTTAATATTTCTTATTCCACTATATTAAAAAATTACTCAGTTTAATATGATATTGAGAAATACCTCATTAGTAAGAAAAGTATTTTTTAAATAATCTACAAGTGAAAAATGAAAAAATATCATATTGTACTCAATTTTACATGTACTATTAATTACGAGCAGAATTCAGTTTTAATCAAAACTTCAGTATTTTATTATTTGTTTATTTTTAATACTTTACCACCTAATTAGAAATAAATATTTTTAAAAGTGATGTGTTTTAAAAAGAAAAAAATACTGTACAGTTTTTTTTTTCCTTTTAATGTTTCTGTTTGTAAATTCCATATCTAGTTTCCATAGGAACTTATACTAATGAGTTAATCTAATTTTCATGGCTTATTAATCTAATTTAATTTTTAAATCATTAATCTAATTTTTAAAATGTCATTCAATAATTGCCAAATCAGTACTTTAAATAGCCTGATAAAATATAGCCTTTATAGTAAAACAAAATATAACTTTTCAGTAAAATAAATTATTCGAAAAAAAAATATCTCCTTTTCAGTAAAACAAATTATATAAATAATCAATTCCAGTCAAAGAGTGATTGAAATATATGAATTATTATGAAAGAATGTAAAAATAATTAATTAAAATAATTTTTAATAATAATTAATTTATAAGGAAAAAATAATTAAAATAATTTAATAAGAACATCTGTCCTAATTCGGAAAAATTACCTAGCTGTTGTTACTTTTAACGAGATAATTAACAATCAATAAATAAACTGAGTTTAATACGTTATTAACGAACAAATCACATTCTGCTCAATTTTACGTAAGCTATTAATTTTAAAGGAACGTCGAATAAAAAACCTACATTAATTTCATTTCATATATATACATAAAAGTAAAATTAAATAAAATAAGCTTGCAGTATTATAAATTGTAACTCACACGTGACGAAAGCCGCTTCTTCATGCGTCTCTCCAAACTTATCCTTCAACTTAACATACAGAACCCCGAAACAGTTCATGATTCCGAAGATCGTTCCATTGGTCCAGAAAGAAGCTAGGCAAACAATCCACCCCCAACCCCCATCAGGGGGCTGTATCGCATTGGGGACCTGCACCTTGACAGGCCTGAGGGGCATGTCTTCGGACTCCTTGGCAAGCAACTGGTCCTTCACCACTGGCCGTATAGGGCTGTTGCTTCCTGGTTTACCCATGCCTGAAGATCACGATGCTGTGGATGATTGTTGTTGTATGGGAGTCTAGTCGCTGAGTTGTCAATTTAAGGAAGAGGTGTTTTTGTTGTTTTTGATCACTAGTTCTTTAAAGCGTCGGAACTCTATCATGTTCCTTCCTTCTTCCGAGGTCCCACTCGCCGAAAAGAGAAGACTTTGGTCCCGGCCTGCAGGAGAATACGTAATCACGGATTGTCACTCAGCACTCGTTGATGCGTTTAAAAGATTACGATGGATAGCCCGTTCACAATTGGCCCAAGGACGGGTGCAGAGAAGAGGATCCGCCGGATGCGCGTAAGCCCTTCTCGCCTGTTTTACGCTGCGGAGCTTTATTTATGGAGGATTCGGCCTCTTTCGATTGCGACAACCTTCGGTTATTTTAACCTCGAACCGAAAATGTTTAAGAACAACAACATGATGTAATAACGAGTGGCGGTTACCGGTTCCTAGGTGGCAGCACCATGTGGTAGCTCCGCATCGATCCCAGCAGAGAGATTCAGTTGCTGCGGGGTTGTGATTGGTTGGAAAGCCGGCGTCGGGGCGTTTCCGTCAGCAAGAAGCGGTTCAGTGGATCGTGAAATCTACGTATCTTTAATTCATTTCAGTCGAGATGCATCACTTAAAAACTTCTTTTTGCTTAACAGACTTTCCAATAAGTCTCTTAAATATTTTTTTCAAATTTCTGTTTTCAAATGTAAAATAAATCTCTCAAATATTTAAATCGAAATATATAACACACAATTTGGTCATCGCACATACAGCGCGTGAAAGACTTTACAACTACTGAAAATTGAAATAAAAAAATATAGGTGAAGTAAAACGATTTTGTGCTGACGTGCGTAAAAATATATAACGTTCAAAGTAAATCTTTTTATGAATATTGTTTAATAATTTATACAAAGATGTTTGTAACCCATGTATTACATATGTTTTGCTGTAAATACTCATAAAAATGATCAATTAGCTCTATTAAAAATTAAATGCATTTTTAAATCCCATCACTTAAAAAATGTTTTAAAAATGTATTATTTTTCGAGAAATATAATGCGTGGCATTAGAAACATATTTCATTAATTACAAAAACACTGTAAATATTCATCACTATCACTTGAATATTTTGCAGTTAAATATATCTTAAACTACTTCACTTAGATAGGTTATTTTAAAAATTTAAATTACTAAGAAGTGCGTCTATTGATTTAAAATCGTTTAATGTTCCAAACAATACAGACAGAAAGATAAATAAAAGATCTTGTCTTGAAAGGCAGTAGTCCGGAAACCGGGTACTGCCATGCCGTTTAGGAGATAAAAATTTTATGTCCTGAATAATGGCAACACTTGCTTAACACGCATGGGTTATAAATGGCACGGTAGCGCAACATAACATTCCAATTTTTTTTTTTTTTTTTTTTTTTTCATATTTATAAAATTTTAGGTTTAAAAGGAAAAATGCAGGCACAAAAAATGGACCCTTTTTTTTTTAAATTAAATTATTTTTAGTTTGAGTTTTAATCATACTCAAAAGTGAAGATTTTTTTATGAGATGGCTATTATTAACTATTATTTTTATTTGAGAACAGAACGAAATAGTTGTATGATTATTTAGTACTTTTTAAGTTAAAAAAAATAATCATAAGTTGTTTTAAAGAGTTAGGCTGTAAATTGAAATTTTCGGATCGTTTTATTCGCCCCCCCTCCCGCATTTAAAAATACTCAAAACAATGAAAAATAATATTTGTATTTAGAACTGTTTAGATGCCGTGAATAAGCAGAGGAAAACTGAAAACTTGGAATTTTATTGCATCCCCAAACGGTAACAAGCATTACAGACGTTAGCACAGAGAGAAAATGTTGCAAATTCAATCCTAGAATTAGAATTTATCAAAAAGTTAGTCGTCCAAAATTCATTACTTCGGATTTTCAAAAAAACTCCATAAAATTTCGAACTTGAACATTGGTAAGAGTAATAAAACGCTTGAAAGTGCTTTAAAAGTGTTTGAACTTTGTAGAATTCTACGAATAGACTGTAAACTAGAAAATGTCTAATTCTGAAGTTTTTTGCATGCATGTCCACTCCTAAAAAACTACACTTTCCAAGGGCATGTGTACAAAATTTAACAGTTATTTAAAATTATTCTACATTTTCTAAATATCTTGATTCTGAAATTTAAATAATATAGTAATAAAAATTCTACAGCAAGGGTGTTCAGTCAACACCTCCTAGAACTAACTAGAGTCCAGGGGGTGCTGGTTCAGTGCGTCTGCAGAACACATGCGGCCCAAGAAGCGAGCGCGAAGCGCAAAAGAATTACGAAGACCCCATCCCGGTGATAATGTTGCGGTCGGGTTCGAGGCTGGCTCTCAACATGGACGAACGAGCTATTTGACGCTTCGAACTGCACCGAACTAAGATGCGTTTTGAGTGGCCAAATAAATACAAACAATTAAAAAAAAAAATCTGAAAGCCTTCAGATTTTAAATTACGCCTAACGGGGCGTTTTATTTAACGTTTTGTGTGTTACCTTTATTTATTAAATATCATGTTCTTCCCACTTAAACCATAAAATTCAGTTCAAGAGCAATATCGCAAAATAATTTTAAATTCAGCATATCTTTAGAATTTCCGATATACAGTCTCGCGCGCTAGAGTTTTCCCCTCCCCGTACAGTGTTGCCATTCTTCGCTCTTTGAAATCGTTGAGTTTCTTAATTAAAAATTCTTTAATGTCCGGCAAGATATGAAATAGGTAATACAAATTCCGGCTTCCAGATTCCCATATTCGCTGGAGGATTACGTTATTCAACATTGAATGGCTCTAGGTACAGTTGTTTTATCACAATGAGAGAAACATACATACATTTATGTAGATTGTTCATTATTTTATTTCTTTAAATATAATACAGAGCTGTAATAGTTGGTGGCAACAGTTTAATCAACGCAGAAAATGAATCGATGCAAAATGCCAAAATGAAATTAATAGCCCGGACTAACGCCCTTTATGCTAATTATTTACATTTCAACACTTTGGACAAACATAACCCTAAAGAGGGGAAAAAATACGTAGCCTTATTTTTCGATCTGATACAAGAATTTGAAAAAATTAATTTCAAGATTTTTTCGGAAAAGTAATCAGAATTTTTGTATTTTTACAGTCGTATCATTTACAATCGGTAAAGACACTGTTAAAAATTTTTTCAAATAGAATGCATAAAGTTGCTACCTGACGTTGATTGATTTGATCACGTGGCTTTGATGGACTTTCATAAATCATACCTACCCGTACGAGACTGTCTAGCTGCACAGTCATGCGTTATTCATGTCATCATTAATATGAACAATTACTTTCAAGAATGGAACATTTTAAGAGCAAAATTAGACCCACAGTATCGGATGAACACCTTAAAAATTTCCCGAGGATTGCAACCAGTTCTGTAGATGCAATTCTCAGGAAAATTAGAACTTTTGTCGAATCGGGCACTGATGCATTAGTTTCTCAAATTCAAGGTCAAATATTGCATTAGTTTTATGATTTCTTGTTATCTTTGCAATTATAAATAAAATTAATAATGAAATTTTATGTATAACATATGCAATGTCTAATGTAATATCAATACAATGTCAAAATACGCAATGCCAAATACAATTCAAGTTAAAATAGCACGTCGAACAAAGTTTATTTTAAAAGTCAAATAACAAAAATCAGTGCTACATTTGCAAAATTTTTAGGATTAGTTTCGACGGTTTTACTACCGAACCATCTTCCTCAGCTGCCAAAGTGCAAATGAATGAGATAAGATCAGAATGACTGAACAGGAGTTGTTGTTTGACTTCTAAAATAGCCAAATGCAATGTCAAAATAATTCTAATTTGCTATCATTATATTAAAAAATCATAAATTAATAAAGTTAAAAAATTATTTAACATATTTTTTTTTTCTTTTTTTTCCACTCGGCCACAATGCTCGCCATATGAATCAAGCGAATTAATAATTAACCTAAAATTTTTCTGTATACGTGCATTCTAATATATATTATATGCACTAAACAAATTTCAATTAACGCAGTCAAACCCCCATATTTTTCTCCTAGAAGTGAAATTCAGAAATTTTTTTCAGTGGTCAAGCATCAGCAAACCTGAAAATTTTCACCGAAATATACGCGATTACTTATTTGTGAGGTCACGCGCTGTCATTGGTATTTTTACTTTTTTTTCTTTACTTATTACGTGCTCCGCCCTTGGGCATTACACGGAAAGGGAGGGATGCCCCGTGGAGGTCTTTTTGGGAAACTGGCTCGTATCCACGCTAAACATGGGGAAAAACGAGAAAATGCCCATGCAGCAAGCCCGTTCGCCGGACTCGAACCTATGCCCGAACTACAAGTGTTCCGCGGCTTTAACCGCTCGGCGGCTGGTGGGCCTGTCACTGGTATTAGAAATGATTTGTAGGCAATAACATACCTCATCTTCTGCCAGTGTGGTCAGGGAAGCTGAAAGGTTGGACACCTCTGTTCGAAAGCAGAGTGCATACAAATTACGTTTGAGAAAAAACAAAAGCTAACGTATATATATTAATTTTCCACCTTTTATTATTAGTGTTTTTCTCTATATATCGATTTTAAAAAATTGAGATACAATTTTCTTTATTCGCTCGAAGCTTTTTCTGATCCCCCCTTTCCCAAATTTTCTAGTGTTTGTCCTTGAAATTGGCAGGTTTGGAGTAAGCAGTCCTGACTCAAACTCATCTGCTTGATTTTGATTTTCCAATTCTGCGTGGCAGGCTCTCGCCTTTTCATCTGTTTTCCAATTATACGTCAGTGCGAGTTTTTAGGGGGGGAGGGAGAATGCAACTTACGAGTTCACTATGTCTGACTATAAACTAAACTGTTTCTCCGGTTTCGCCGGGCAATGAAAAAAGTCATTCATTTTAATAATATACCCAAATGCAGGTACGATATTTAAAAGACGAGAGGATAACTTGTAAGTATCTTGTGTTTTGACACTGAACGCAAATGCGGATATTTTTAAGAAAAACGCAATTCATCTGAAAACAATTTTTTTTTATTTTAACAGACCAAAGCAGTCACTTGGGCACGCCCTTGTCCGTGTAAAGCATTGTTATTCTTATTCGTGGAACATTCGGTGTACACGTTGTGGAATAGCTTAGCTCTGATCATACCAAAAACATCCATTCACTCCGTCAGCCATTTTGGATCACGGGTGAATTCTTTAGACTCTGTTTTGCTTATTCTGAGCGACTCGAATTGCATCTTTCTTTAGCTAAGGATTTATAAGCAATTTTGATAAGCAAGAATATGTAACGCTACGCACC